AACGTTTTCGGATTTACAGTTCATTGGTGAATTGGTTCTAATTTCCATTCCTGATTTAAGTTGGATTCTATTTCCCTCTTCTAAATATGTACACGTTCCGCATCTTGGATCTCCGCATTTTTTAATGGTTGGAATTTCCTCCTGTGTAGTAAAACGGGCCTTGGTTAACAATTTTTTAAGATTGGGTGCCTGTCGTCGACTATTGATAATATCATTTGGTTGTATTAAACTTTTCATATTTTCCGATTGTTCTAAAATTGGGTAGAATCTTTTAGCGTAGTAGAAGATTCTACCCAATTTTAGAACAATCGGAAAATATGAAAAGTTTAATACAACCAAATGATATTATCAATAGTCGACGACAGGCACCCAATCTTAAAAAATTGTTAACCAAGGCCCGTTTTACTACACAGGAGGAAATTCCAACCATTAAAAAATGCGGAGATCCAAGATGCGGAACGTGTACATATTTAGAAGAGGGAAATAGAATCCAACTTAAATCAGGAATGGAAATTAGAACCAATTCACCAATGAACTGTAAATCCGAAAACGTTATCTACTGTGCAATCTGACCGACATGCAAAGAATTCTATATTGGACAAACGGGGAAACTAAATGCCCGGGTTCGTGTACACAAGCAACAAATTAAAGACCCTAGTGTGCGTAATACACCATGTTGTGAACATTTTGCAAAATGCGGCTAAGGAATATTTAAGATTTTCCCTTTTTATAAACTTCCCAATGAAAATGAAAATCTACGTTTGGCAAAAGAGGACTACTTTATCAAACTCTTTAAACCAAAGCTTAATCGAAAATGATACATTATTATATAACATATTGTAAGATTTTATGCATATTATGTGTTCAAGTTAATGCAATATTTGTACATTATCTAATACGGCAACTTTACGCTACCTTGATCTATTATGACGTCACAATGAACTTTTGCTTTTGGACGTTACCAGGTAACCTACCTGACATTTGTATAACTGCCTGAAGAGCCTAACATGGCGAAAGCGCTTGCAGAAAATATTTTGTGATTTTTTGGATTTTTATTTTATATATATATATATATATATATATATATATATATATATATATATATATATATATATATATATATATATATATATATATATATATATATCTTCTCGCTATAATTGTTTTCTACATACTTACATGTATGCAGCAGTAACCAAAATTTTGGAAAATATTATTTTCATGACAGAACATTGCTTATTCAAAGAATATTCATTGTTTTAAAAAAAAATACACTGCATCTTCAATTCATTTTAGGTTTTCAATAACATATCATGTAATTACATATACTTGAAATTTGGTAAATTAATTACCTTTGCCTGATAAATTTCATTCGTTTGAAGTCATCCTTTCACAAGTTTTACGGTCGACACAATGACCTTGTCAGCACAAACAACCTATCATTAAGTCAAATGCTGACTAATGTTTTTCATACTAATTGTAAGGCCATTACTTATACACTGAAGTGTCTACGGATTTTTCCGGGTTTTTTTTTTTCGGTAAGGACAAGGAGCATACGGCGGGTGTGACCGGTCGGCAGGGGATGCTCACTCCATGGCACCTGATTCCACCTCTAAATTTTGAGGTCCGTGTTTGCTCCGCTTCAAATTTTTACTGTTTCATTGGACCTTCGAGATTCAATACTGTTCATTATCTTCATATTTCATTTATAAAAGTCAGCCTTTTAATTGTTCACTGTACATTGTTTTAACATAAATCTCCCAGTCAATATTTTGCATATATCATACTGAAGGCTCGTGTATGTTGATTAAATTCAGATTTCAACTGCTTTCATCGATTTGCTTTGCATCTCAATCATTTAACATGCCATATCTGGTAGAGAATTGACTGCGTATTTTGTTATACGTAATCCTGTTCCAGATTCGGTCAATATTTAGATATGTCAAATCAACACTTAGAGAATGTAAGCTAAATTTGCATTAAACATTACATTGCTGCTTACCACTTAAGGAAACTTTATGCCCTCTCAACTTTAATTAGTCTCATTTAAAGCCGTCATTTCGTACGTCTATGGTCGATACAATGACATTGTCAGCAAATACAATTTATCATTAAGTAAAATGCTGACACACGTTTTCATACTAATTGTGAGGCCATAATTTAAATACTGAACTGTCGACGGATTTTTCCGTTATTTCCCGATCATGACAAGGAGCACACGGCGGGTGTGACCTATCGGCAGGGGATGCTCACTCCTCCATGGCATCTGATCCCACCTTCGATGTTTTAGGGGTCCGTGTTTGCTCTGCTTCAAACTTTGTATTGTTTAATGGACTTTTGGTCGAATACTGTTCGTTATCTCCATATATTTCACTCTTACCGGAAGACCCTACTAAGAATGGGTCATTATTTTCTTCTTGCTAAAATACACAATTTGAAATAATAATAAAGAAATGAATTAACGATATTTAAAAGCAAATTATTATTATTGACTGGGGAAAATTCGCCAGTTTATAGAGAAAGTCATATATCACCTTTCTTGGTAAAATGGCTGTTTATTAATTAATTGGTAATTGGTACTTGGACTTTAAAACTCCCAGCTGCTTCATGTAAATAAATCAAAGGTAGCTAAGGTTCAAGATATGATGTCCTTATCATAAAATTCTGGGAAGGAAATGGCACCTCATGGCAAGTGATCCCATCTCTGATGTTTTAAGAGGTCATTAATGCTCTGCTCCCAATTTGTATTGCTTCAATAGACTTTAGAGCTTGATTACTGTTCGTTGATATGTCATGCTAAAAGCTGTGGATATTGATTATTAAATTATATAACGAATACAATACATTTGTTTATGCGTACTCAAACATTAAGGAATAAATATAGTGTATTTAAACATAATTGCTAAGTATTCAAAAAGGAACAATGTTTAAAGGAACAATCCTGACAGGGGATATTTTCCTTAAACCTTTAACAATCTATTTAAAAAACTCCACTTGAAAAAAATTGTATATAAGTGTGAAGTAAGTCGCATTCTCCTAATTCACACATCTTTTCCATTTACATTTTATATATTTAAAAAAAAAATATTATCAAGATTTAAATTTTTTAATTAGTACATGACATACATCTAAAAATACAGTATTAATATATATATGATTTCTTTTTTCTTCATTTTCTGTGTGAAAACTTGCTTTGCTGTAAAATATCTAATGTGCGCCAGCAGAGGATCGTTCACCTGTTGAAAATGTATCGTAAATAAAACAAGCTAATTCAGAGAATTTTTGTCCCATGCTTATAAGGGAAAAAGAAGAACATCCATAGATCTAGGGGGTAGGGTGGGGATGCGGGGTCAGACACCCCCCCCCCCCCCAGATTTGCAGAATCATTAAATGTATGCATGTATACTGAAGCAAAATTGATAAAAAAAAAATGTCAATATGGATATAAAGATTTGATTGCTTATTCTTTAATAAGTGTATAGAAGATTCTTTTTATACAGAATATTTATCACACTGTAATAGTGATTTTATGAGCAGTTTGTACACGCGAGACTTCATAACTTCTTTATTTGATATGTTGAATACTATCATTTAGTAAATCGATAAAAAAGCATTTCAAAAAATTCAGGGATCGTCTGGGATTTAAACCAGGGATCTCTCATATGCTAAGCAAGAATTTTTTTTTATCTTTTATTTGCTAAGCAAGAATCATACCCCTAGACCAACGAGAAGCTTGTTTGTCATGCAAATTAATGCAAACATTAGGTCACATATAGTATTTATGTTCACGTTCGATATTGTCAAAATTATACACAACACATGGTGTCTAATAACAGTTCTAATAGACGTAATTAGAATATAAAGTCCGCCGACAACATATATAATATGTATAACTCTGCACATGCTCCTGTTCTAAAAAGAGTGCCACGCCACTTTTAATACAATGAAAACAAACGGGTGGGACACTTTGAAAGGGGCGAGAGAGGCCATAGGGAGTTAAGGTATAAAATTGCATTACTAAAGCTCACAAGCTTTTTGAGATATCGCCCGGAAACGAAAGTGTTCAAACAGACCGAATTTATGACCTTGACCATTTGACCTCAAAATCAGTAACGTTCTTCTTTAGGCCATAGGGAGTCGCTATATAAAATATCATTGCAAAAGCTCAAAGGCTTCTCAAGAAATCATGCGGGAAACGAATTTCAAAGTGTAACAGACGGACAGAAATACAGACGGACGAACGGATAGACTGAAATTGATATTCCCCACTTTCAGTGAAAGCGGGGTTGGGGGACAAAAAACAAACAATGCAGGAGATTTTTTTTTTATTTTGATAATAGTAAGAAAACAGACACTACGAACTAATCGATAGAAAAGGGTGAATAACATAAGCAAAGTTTTAGTTTGTTTGTTTCTGGGAACATTTTCAATCGTATAAAATTTCCCAATTAGATTTCAATTGAAAGAGATATTGAAAAAATAGAAATATAACTCTTTAGTATGGAAGAGAAGAATTTTTTTTGTGCTATGTATCTTAAATTGTTCATAATTTATCCAAATAAACACAGAATCAAAAAAGTCAGCAAACGTATCAAGTAATCTTTGATAAACGTATACAAAGCAGCTGACATTTTTCAGAAAGTTTAAAAAGATATATACTGCATGTGCAAATCAAATTCATAAACGATTTAATTAAACTGTATTTTCTCTTGGTCATTTAAAGATGTCCTTATACAGAAATGTAAGCAAAAGTAAACGATTTAAGATTACATTAGATAAACACTGTCATTACTATTTAAGAAAGAAACTAGTACTAAATCTTTGTAGAATAAAGTCTTATTATCTTAAATACTAAATTTATCACACTTTATTATTTACAAATTCAGATTCTTAGCATCCTGGAAATAACAAAGGGAACAATATCGTTGCAAGATATAACAAGGAAAGTTGTTGAAGATACACATTTAGTTTTTCAAAATAATTTCCAAAAATTCTCACCAGCAAGTAAGCAAATATGTTTTACGTCAATTCGTTATTTTATCATAAAATTATATTATCTGAGTAAGTAACTACAATTTTCCCATAAAAATGTATATTTATAAAGGATTATAATCAAATATTAAAATTTTCTGCTAAAATCATTTCACTACAATTCAATGTCAAAAATACATAAATGATAAATAAATATCAAGCTTATTATTTTCTATACTAAAAGGCCAAAACAATCATTACTTCGATAAGGAAAGAACTTATTCTTACTTCTTTCTAACAATAATGCTTTCTAACAATGTTAAGGTCCAACACACAAGTGATGGAAGTATGTATTGAAACAATTCTTTAAAAGACCGCTCTTTACATATGAAGTTTTCTTCTTGTTACTAAAGGTAACAAATTTCTCTGCTCTTTATTACAGTTAATAAATTTCTATGCTGTAAATTACACCCATGTAAGAAATATAACGATTAAAGTCATTTATTTAATGCAAAAATACAGATATGATTAGTCAGTAGTGCGAAATGTTTAGTTATCGCAATTTAATCATTAAAACTTATTAAACAAAATCGCCAAAATGAAATTAAACTAACACTAAGTTAACTAGTAATATACTATCCACATGCGTGCATGGTGAAATATATGGAGATAACGAACAGTATTCAAGCTCAAAGGTCCATTATACAATACAAAATAGGAGCAGAGCAAACATTAGAGGTGGGATCAGGTACCATGAAGGAGTGAGCATCCCCTGCCGACCGGTCACACCCGCCGTGTGCTCCTTGTCATGATCGGGAAATAACGGAAAAATCCGTCGACAATTCAGTGTGTAATGGTTTAATTCTTCATCCTGATGTTTGGTCTCTGGATGCGAAACTATGAAACAAATACAAAAATGTTCAATACTCATACGGAATGATGAAAAAAGCTATTAATTTGAAGTAAAGTGTTAATGTTAATATTCACAATAACATGAATATCGTTTGTCAATAATGAAAGGTTTTTTTCTCTGTTTAAGAAAGATTAAAACAGAAATTTCTTAATCAAAGAATGTTTGTAAAGTACCTGTTCTGATGGTTTTAAAATGTCATACATTGGATTATGGTTAAAACTTGGATTCCTATAGTCTGCAAATTTGCAAACAAATTATCAATGCATTTCATATTAAAATTAATGCTCCTATGCGAATAAAATGAATCTCTATAATCTATTATGACACAGGTTTAATTTATTATTCAAAATTTCTTAAAAATTGTTGTTAAATCAAATACTTTGAACAAGACATTTCTTTACTTCATCAATATTTCTACATACCATCATAAATTCCTCCAGTAGAACCAATCGTGCAATACTCGTCGCTAAATCCATCCGTCCTAGCTCTTGGTAAATCATAATCATTATGTAAAACGTGACTGAAATAAAACCAATAATATGTTAAAGATGTGACATAAATGGGTGCAAATATTACCGGTTGAGAGCTTTTTGTTTGTTTGTTTATTGTTTAACGTCCCTCTCGAGAATTTTTCACTCATATGGAGGCGCCACCACTTGCCGGTGGAGAGCTGCAAATTTTGACCTATACTCTGCACACAGAGCCATTGAACAGTGAGGGATCTTTTTCGTGCCAGCACCTACTGCGACACGGGACCTCGGTTTATACGGTCTCATCCGAAGGACCGGTCTCCACGTCCCACAGTGGGACTCCCGGTAGAGAGCAAGGAATATTATAAATGATATCACTTGTTACCCAAAATAACATTTATCGAATGTAAATAAATGTATCTGTTGATTTGGTCAGTCAACATTTATTAAATATTTTCATATCAGATTCACATAACGCGGAGCTACAACTATGTCCTTGAAATAGTTCTGTTTTTTGCCAGCTAAAAAGATCTTAGCTTTGTCCTTCTGACTATGGAAAAGGTCCAAGGACACTCTGGGGTAATAAGCAATATCTATCTATCAAAGATAAAAAAGATATCCCTATAGGGGATGCTTACCATTTCAAGTGACCTGATCCCACCTCTGATGTTTTAGAGGTCCTTGATTGCTCTGATTTAAATTTGTAGTGTTTAATGGACTTTTGAGCTTGATTACGGTTCGCTATCTTCATATTTAATTTGAGCTTGTCTAAATGGCTAGGGTTGTTAAAGTCATACCAACTTAGAGTCATGCGATCTTTTGAGGAAAGTATGATTTTGATGATTTTCGATTACAAAGAAATAATACATATACGAATACAAAGACCGTAAAATAAAATATAAGTAAACACGGTGTTTTCAGTTTATATAATGAAAAAATATTTTCAAAGTAATTGTTCTTATTACTGAAATGGTGAATACAAAATGTAATTAATCCTAGCATTTTTTAAGCATCTAGAATACGTACAAAACGAAGGCGGAATATTAAGCCTTCCATGTTTAATTATTTCTTCTTTTTTGTTTTTGTTTTATTTTTTTGCTACTACCTTTGAATATCCCCGGAATCCTTCTTCGACTTCCTTTGGTGGCACACACATATTATGAGCAGAACAATCATTGTAATCAATAATGGAACACAGACTCCAACAAGAATGATGTAAATTGTCCAATCTGAAACAGAATTCGTAATTAAAGTGGACATTTTGTCAAACTTTGGCAAATTATGCGTAAAATAAAATATATTCCTTCTTAATCACAAAAATCAGTCCATAAAATTGATACTTAACCTTTTTGGACAGCTGGGATAATCCTAAAACAAAAAAGAGTTTGGTCTTAGAGGGGGATACGTAAATTTATGAAATAAACGAGAAAATTGCTTCCTAAAATGCTACACAGAAAATTCAAAATTATCTCAGACCATGATAAAAATACACATACACACAAACAACTACTCCGGAGTTGTCCGTACAGATCTCTCCACTAGTACAATACTCTTTTTGATCGAAAATTGTACAAGGACTGGATTCTGAATTAATATCTAAAAATAAAAGTATGAAATTGAAAAAAACACTCCTGCGTTAGACATGATTTATTCCATGATTTTCAAATAAAAGTAATAATAAATTAGGACAAGCATTGATATCAATCCATTATTTTAGCAAAAGCTTGTGACTCATTCAAATAAAGAAGCATTTAGCTGTTTCTTACGTTTATCATCTGTTCCATTCGAGTGCTTTAATACTATATCCTTCACTACCACGCTTTTGTTATAAAATGTCAGATTTGCTTCATTTCTTGCAAGATTCATCAGTCCATTAGCAATATCCTTTTTTACTGTCTTTGAAACAGTGTTATTTGCAATGATTTCGTGATCAGCTATTATGCTTCCAAACCTTTATAAAACAAAATAATTTGGCTATGTCTTTCACAAATGCAAATAATATTTTGTAATAAAGAGTACAAATTATCTAACAAGTACTTGCTAAATTACTTATAAGATAGGACGACACATTCCTAATATATCTGATTTTTTTTTATCTCTTTCAGACACACAATAAATATTTATAATTATTATAATCTTGTGCTTTCTAATATGTTTTCAAAATCTCCAACTCCTTAAAATTATAAAAAGCAAATTTTGTGGTATCAGCAATGCAAATTATTTCAACAGATTATATAGAATGTTCCATTCTCTAGTATCTTACACAGAGGCTTGGTAATGTAACTTTTTGTGAGAAAATTGTTAAAGTAGCAATATTCCAATCACTTGTTCTTGAGGGAAATACAGTATATAAATCAATGAGGAACGTGTCCACTGACGTTAAGAAAATTACCTACCGAATGGACAATACGAAAACTTTTTTGAATCCTTGAATACTTCTTTTGTAGAAATCTTCGAGCTAGTTTTTAATTAAAAAGTTCATAGCATATTAATTTGATTAAACCTCTGCAAAAAGACTAATTCTTTAATGCTAGCTTAAGCTGCTATTGAACATTTTCAGAATCTCAGACATCTGACACTGTACTTTGGACAGCAGAGTGCAAGCAAAACACGACTGCGGGGACGTATTGAGAAATGTTTTCAAACCAACTCTCTTCACTCTCTGATATGTATTTAAAATGAATAAGTTTTAAACAATATACATCAGATTCATAGAGATTAAAAATATTTCGATATGGCGCATTACAAACAAATCACCACAGGAATTTGGCTTAATTTACATGTATCTATACATGATGTGCAATGGCGGATCCAGAAGGGTGGGGCTAGGGGGGGGGGGCACATCCCCCTTACTTTAATTTGATTAAAAATAAAACATATAAATCAGCATTATAAAAAAGAAGGGGCGAGAGAGAGAGATTGTATATACATGTTATTGGAATTTTAGAATTTATCAGGCAATAATAAGACCTAATAATAGATTTACCTCATTCATTATTATGAGGTTCAAAAATATCGATTTCTCTCGAGCGAACTTGAATTAAGAAAATAAGTGATTGCTAAAATCATCACTTCATACACATCAGCTCGGTTAAGATAATATAACAAGAGGCCCATAGACACAACGCTTATCTGAGTAACTTTGGCTCTGCTGTTCTTCACTAGAGGATGCTTTGTACAAACTTTGGTTAAAATGTGCCCATTGGTTCTTGAGAAGAAGTTGAAAATGTGAAAAGTTTACAGACGGAGGGACGGACAGACGGACGGACGACGGACAACAGGTGATCAGAAAAACTCAAGGTCAGGTGAGCTAAAAACTAACCATTTCATTTTGTTTATAATAAATCCGATATATAAAACAGAATTTTTAAGAAATAGTTTCCATTTAGTGCATTGTAGCAGTTGTGGTTTTATTCTTCAAGAAAAGGACATTAACATCTGCTAGGCTATAAAATTTTCCCACTACCGAATGCATATGGAAGCCTCAAGGTGGCCCCAGATATTGAATATCCTGCCTAATTCGCAACACACTTTGGCAGGCTATTTCTATGAAAATGTAAGATTAAGTTCTTATATTCTAAAGGGAACGTGGTTTTGTTTGTTTATTTGTTTATTGTTTAACGTTCCTCTCGAGGATTTTTCACTCATATGGAGACGCCACTACTTGCAGGTGGAAAGCTACAAATTTTGACCTATACTCGGCACTCATGGCCATTGAGCAGTGAGGGATCTTTTTCGTTCCAGCACCTACTGCGACATGGGACCTCGGTTTATACGGTCTCATCCGAAGGACCGGTCTCCACGTCCCACAGTGGGATTCGAACCCGCGACGTAAGGCTCAACTCCTTACTATGCAACTCTAAAGCGAACGCTCTATTTTCTCCGCAACCTCCCCTTTCAAAAATATCTGGATCTGACCTGATATATCGAGTACGAGAAAAGTTAATTGTAGGTGATATGTTATACACGTTCAAGACACGGGTAATGTCATAGTATGTCCAAGGTGATTTTCCCCCGGAAGCGGAAGGTATTTTTTGTTTAAATAAATTTTGTATCTCTACAAACAATTCCTTAAACAATATATATCTAATCACAAAAATATTTTTTCTTGACTAACGCAACTGCTCTGTCAAACAGAATTTTATTCATTTTTATTTAAAGATCATGCGCTCAGCAAGATATCTACATAAAGTTTTTAGTTCTTCAAGATCCCTCGATCCTTTCTATCTGTGGTTGGGAAAACAATCTATCAGGAAAAAGGAGCTAAGTTAGGAAAAGTGTGGGGAGCCCTCTCATATAGGAGGATGTATACACATGTACAGAATAAAATACTTTAAATCATACAAATACGAATGTGATAATATATTCCTATTATTCAAATTACTTTTTGATACATTCCCGCACGTGAAAAGTCCGCAGTCCGAAGTCAGCTGTTAGGTGTCTAAGATTCCAAAAATGTTCAGCACAATAAAACCTTATGTCCTTCTTTTACTATTATCGGTATTCAATTTGCTGCATGAATAAACAAATGACAAGAAAATTGTTTGGCTTTTATAGAACACCTTGATTATTTAAACGTACTATACTTAACTATACTTGGTCACCGTGTTTCAAAATTTAGATTGAATTAATAAATAAATTACATATCAGATATGATCATCTGCCTCAAATCGTAATATCATTTTTGCTCAAAACGGAGCCATTGTTTGGAGCAAGGATACGCAGAGTCTGACACATTTGTTTCATATTTGGATATTTTACTTGAAAAGACGTTAATGGTAATCTAACAACCAAGCTTTATGATAAACGTGATGACTTTAACTTATGCAGCAATATACCTTCATCTCTCTATGTACAATTTCTAAATCGAGGTAAATTATTGACAAACAAGTCGATGAAACAAGAATATCAGCAGTCTTGTTTAAATCATCATTTCGTAAGTTCTATGGTCGATACAATGACCTTGTCAGCAAATACAATTTATCTTGGAGTCAAATGCTGACTGACGTTTTCATACTAATTGTTAGGCCATCATTTACACACTGAATTGTCGACGGATTTTTCCGTTATTTCCCGATCATGACAAGGAGCACACGGCGGGTGTAACCGATAGGCAGGGGATGCTCACTCCTCCATGGCACCTGATCCCACCTCTGATGTTTTGGAGGTCCGTGTTTTCTCTCCTCCTATTTTGTATTGTTTAATGGACTTTTGAGCTTGAATACTGTTCGTTATTTCCATATATTTCATAAATAAAGCAGCAGTTATTCAAATAAATGAACTTCCAAGAAAAGAAAAACAGTCGACACTCAAACAATATATAAGCTCTCTTATGTTTTGCCCAGTACAAATTATGAGATCAATTAAATACATAAAAATAATATTTTTAAGAAAATCAGAATGATTTAATATGAAAGTAGCTTTGTATACCTTTTCTTGAACATGTATCATCCATCCGTCAAAGTTCGTTAAGACCTCTTCTTTATCGTATTCGACTTCAAATGCAATTTCTACTTTCACTTTCGTTTCCCCGTCACCTGTTAGTTTATTTGTTCGTTTTGTTAACGCGTTAATGATGATCTGTTTGTTTGGATTTTTTGTCAATTGTATCATAAAATATAAATATATATAATTCATAATCTTGATGGGAAGAGTAAAACAATCGAACGTCTAAGATTAAAATGAAATAGATGTTGGGCAGTAGTGATTGATTATTTTTACCTGTAAGGCTCCATGAGGTTTTTGTTGTAACTTGATTATCGGACGATAATTTGGTTATGATGAAGAGGGAGGGGTGATCAATCGAACGGAATTGACCAAGTCAATAGTTTGGATAAATTATCCGCCAAGAATAAAAAATAAGGATTGTGTGTAAAAGTTAAGTAGAGATTTTAAAGTGAAAATACAAAATAGAGGATTGGAGGGCAGAACTATAAATGTGTAAAATTCAAATCAAAATTAAAGGTCATTGATGCAAATTTCGAGCAAATATATTACAAAGAATTTAGAAGCTCGAACGGAGGGTATAATTACTCCTCATTAGCACCTGATCCAACATCTGATATTTTTAGGGGTCCATATTTGCTTTGATCCCAATTTGTATTGTTTCAATGGACTTCTGAGCTTGATTATCATGCGGTTGGAATATGCACATCGTCTTATTAGTGGCCGAGACAAATGGAGTCTTTTTTTGATGCATTGATACAGAAAAGATATGTTTGAATACTTGCACGTTTATATAGGTTGGGTAAAACAGGGTAGCTCCTAATAACATGAAAAACGATCCAGAGGCCAAAGAAAATATTAAATTGTTCAGTCTGAAGTGTAATCTTTGCCATCATAATAAAAAGAAATACTGCTTAACTATTCCTGGTGTATTAATTAACTTTGGTTACATGTACCTTGATCAATCACAAATTGTAAGAGTGGTGTATAATCTCTCACTTGCAACTTGCATAAGCAAATATCCCGGGTTTTGGTCGAGTATCTTCAACTATCACATACCCAAAAGCTAACGATGTTTAATGGTATAAAGGTCTGAGTTTGAGAAGAAGTTTACCCGGTTATGATAATAGGGATATTTGTTTTTGAGTTTTTGCTATACTATACAGTCTAATGATTTTGGACCTTTATGTGACCGTTATTTATTGCAGTATTTTTCTTGGTTTCAGTACGGTTTCTTGAAACCAGATTTTTTGTACCTGTCGGACACAAATGTTTAAAAATTTCGCTAAAAATGCAATAATATTGAAACTTACTTTCATTCAATGGTGGCAAAGGAGCTATTTGAAAGAAAATAAAAGGTTTTAGTAAAGATTTTAAAAAGATGTAAAGTTAAGTTACACTGATCATAAAACCAAAGACTACGATTCGAGTACTCACCATTGCAGTCAGTTATATTCAATCCACCGTAAAGGCATTCACAGATAGCGGATCCTTCAGAGTTGAAACAAACCTGATTTAAGGTTTCGTTACAAACAATAATTTTTTCTTCGCACTCATTTACATCTTGTGAACAATCCTGACCCATCCACCCATTTTTACACAGACACGACCCATTCACGTGATTACAGATACCCGTATTGTTACGAAAACATGTGCAGACTCCGGAGCATTGAACACCAAAAGTAAAATCCTCACAAACTGTAATAATTTAATTAAGCTGTCAGGAGAACTTATTACCGATTGCAATTTTTATGAAAGGGTGTTAAGCTACTTCGTTATCTTAAGATTTGGAACGAATACATACACAAACTGTCATGTAGCAATCTTCATATGTACTTAATTTCTTTAATTAAGCAATGGAAACTCTTCGGGAGAATAAATTACTACTGAGTGGAATATTTTATGACTATTCTCTCTTAAAGTAACATGATAATTTAAAGATTTTTTTTCTTGCTGATCATTATGTTATTATTTAGGGGGGGGGGGGGGGGAGGGGGGGGTGTTGTTAATATGATTAATCTAATTTTCTTTCGTGGAAATGGACGATACGTATTAGAGAAGTTTCGTGGAAGTGAACGATACGTATTAGAGAAATATATCAAATGACTCAGCAAAATACTTGCAAATGTTTCCAATGATTTACCTGTCAGTATCTCAAATTATCAAGTTATCAAAAGTATGATGAACGTCACGCTATAAGACATTTTATTGTTAGTTATGAAAGAATAATATTCATATTGCAAAAAACACAAGTTTACGGGTGCTCATGAGCGTTTGAATTATGTTTTTGTGTTTTACTGCTTTTTAATATTGAACGATTGGAACCGAGGTGGAATTAACGTACCTGTGCAGCCTTCTCCATTTCCTTGAAATCCTTCCAAACATGTACAATTATATCCGCCATCTGTATCAAGACAGGTAGCATTACCTGCGCAGTTGTGAATACCTTCGTCGCATTCATCGATATCTAAAATCAGATTTTGTCGAAAACGTTTCTGAAAAACGTTGCCGGTTTTAATATGCTTTTGACTCCTAAACAGTTGATGATATATTTAAATCAAGCATAGGATCACTCTCGTTTTAGTATGTCATGATAATATTTTAAATCATCAAAGAAGGATAGAGAAAAGGAACTTACTATGACATGAAAAAGTTGATACGTTTAAGGAATAGCCGTCATTGCATGAACAATCAAAGCCTCCGGGCGAATTAGAGCAGTTGTGACATTTATACGCAAGACATTCGTCAATATCTGAGCAGTTACTAGAATCGACCAATTCGTATCCAACATGACAGGTACAGTTATAACCTCCATTAGTGTTTGTGCAGTTGTGAGCACATGGAGATTGGACTTCACACTCATTGATGTCTATACATTATATAAAAAGATAACATTTTCATATACATTTTGTCTGTTAAAATAATTCATTTCAATTAATTATTAGTAAAAAAGATTTTATGGAGAGGACTTGTTCCTTTGTTTTCAGAAAATGATTTGAGCAGTGCTATTTTAATCAGTAAAATGGTCTGTCTGGAATAAGTTGACAGAAAAACATCATTTTTTCCCAAACAAGTTTATCATCTAATAATATGTTTGATTACGTAAGTAGATGCATACTCCTATTACAAAAAGAACGGCTTTTCAAACATTATTTTCATATTTTTATGTGCAAACGTAATTGATAATTTAAACAGAAAAAGATCTTTACCTATACAAGCGTTGTTTGATTTCTCATATCCAGCCCTACATTTACACATGTAAGATCCGATTGTGTTGATACAGTCTTCGTTGGTGTCCACACAAGGACTACTACTACTGTTACATTCATCGATATCATTGTCACACAACACTCCCTCCCAACCCTGTTTACAGACACACCCAGTAACATGATCACATCCGTCAGATCCTATGCCACATTTACAGTCTTTTAAGCAATCTTCTCCATACCTTCCTTCTACACAGACTATGTGAAAAAATTGAAGGGGAAAAGTTATTAAAGTCTCGAAAGAAACTGTTATATACAGATTCAAAATTTAAAATTTTGCTATATAGGTGAAAGTGAGAATTTGACCCACCTTTACAGGACCTTCCATCGTTTTGCAGTACGTATCCAGTACTACATCCACATTCAAAGGAACCCTGGATATTGGTACAATTATGCTCACATATTGAAGAAGGTAGTCTACACTCATTAATATCTACAATACAACTGCTGCAGTTTGTCTTTGTTATCTTGTAAAAGTTCAAGAAAGTATGCATATTAAAAATCACTGGCTAACGAAATGAAAAGGAGTCAAATCTGAATAAATTAATATATATATAGTTGGATATCAGATATTTGATTTGACAGCACACAATATTTTATTAACAAGAAATGCTTGGAAACATTTATGCCCCACAGCGCATCTTCCCCACCCACCCAACCCCACGCCGTATCAATGTGGAATTTTTTTTTTAAATCTTGATAATATGTTGACGGTGCGACCTTAGGGCGAGCACAGATATTTATTCAGGTTTAATTTAGATCGGGCTCGTTCGTCAAACTGCACTTGATATTTGGTGCGTCTAGACTCTGACGTCACATGACGTCGTATTTAATAAGTTGCATTACCAAACCGAAGCCTGAACATTGTTGACTTTAATGAAGAACGTTTTATTTACTATTTGTCTGCAATATATCCATTAAATCAAGGAGAGTTTATTTTTTTTGTTAGTTAAACTGTTGTTGTTTTTCTTGCGAGAACGTAGCTTAAACAAGCGATGCATAATGGGTCCAAAAGTTACTGCGGAAAAAAAATTCGTTTGGATCAATGTGTAAGTCCGAATTTTCTCTTCGCCCAGGCGTTGTCGTTAGAGCTCGCATAGCGAGCGGCGCTTCGAGCCGCTCGCTGCGCTCGCTATAATCACAGCATGCTTAAAAACATGTCATTTTCTTCTTACATACATTGATAAGGGGTATTCACAATAAATTATATTTATATAAGATAAATCATTACAAGTGGGGCCCTGCTAAGTTTGTTCGAGAAACGAATACTCACAATATGCATATGTTTATATTTCAAATGAGTGGCTTTTACAGTCAGTAGTAAATACCTATGCAGGTGCTGTTGTCTTGATCAAGTTTGAATCCAGATTCACAGAAACAGACTCCTTTAAATGATTTATCCGCTTCCTCTTTCACTGCACAGCCGTAGCTACAGTTCAATTCCGGAAAGAGCTTACACATATCTACAACTAGATTGAGACAATTGGTTTATGGATATGGACATCCAAAGTTATATTGTTATACTACTACTTCTTCATTTTTTTTTCAATTTTTGTTACACTATAGGACTGAAGGTCACCTGGGTATCACGAGTTTCTCAGGTTATGTCAAATTTGGGCCCACTTGGAACTGGTCTGGAATTTTTTGACAGTTCCTTTACAGTTTGATGTGGACTCTGTAATGATTATCATATTAATGCAGCTTGCTTCCCAGATGTTCATAAGTAAACAAGGAGCACTAAATTCCATTTATGGCATATTTAGCTCTACCCTAAAACTGTTCCCTAGTTAATGTGTAATTAACTCTCAGTTTACCAATTTACCCAACTGTGGACCTGAAATATCGAAATGTGGCAATGACAATTTTAATTTGGTAGAGAGTTAATTGTTTGTCATAATCACGTAAACAGTCTACCAGTTGACCATGAGTATTAAGAAGATTTTCAAAGTTATCTTAATTTCAACACATGACCAACTTAGGCCAAGTTGGGGCCTGAACTCTGAACCGAAGGGCCGGGGGCATCAATTTTATTATTTTGGTAGAGTGTTCAGTACTCAGTATAATCATGTAAACAGTTTGCCTGATACATGTCTATGAGTAATGAAGAACTTTCCAAACTTGTGATGTATTTTTCAGTACACACATGTATGAATGACTGAGCCACACCTAAACCTTCAATTAAAGACAAGTTTGTCTTCAATCATATAAATTTTGTAAAGGACTGTGTTCATTTTACTCACAAACAGTTTGTTTGCTGGATGTCAAGGACTACAAAATATTTCATTTTTAAACAGTGTCAGTGTTTTCAATATATCACCAAATAAGCCCAATACTGCAGTCTGAAAGCTGAAACCAAAAGACATGAATTTTTCTTTGTAATCCAAAAATCAGTAAGCCCACTAACTTCTTTTAGAAAAGATATTCTAAGAAGATCTAATGTACATACATTTTCAATTCGTAACGAACTAAGCCCACCATGGTCCTAAACCATGAGCCCGGGGGTAATGAATTTCACAATTTTGAAAGAGAGATAATTAGTGTTATAATCAATATTAAATAGACGATTGTCAAGGATATAGTTTCAATATATGACCAAATAAGCCCTACTCTAGGATAAAGACTATCGACCAAAGAGGTATGACTTTCACAACTTTGGTGAAAATTTGAATAATCATTTCATTCATGCAAAACATTTTGTGTACTTGATTTATATGAATAAAGAAGATTTTACAAGGTTGCAGTTTTCATTATATGATCAACTTAGCCCTAGCCTTGAATGAACCCTGATCCGGGAGATCATGAATATAAATTTTGCTATATAATAATAGAAGTATGTATGATCAAGCCAACAATTTGACTGTTTGATGTTAAGTGGTAAAAGAAAGACTCTTAGATATTTTTATTTTTATGGAATGCCAGATGCTGAAAGCCCCACGGAGGCAGAGAGACTATGAAATTTGGTTGAAATTTGCTTCAGCGGTTTGATAGAAGACACTGAAAATATTCAAAAGTTCGCGTTAGAAGAACAACAAACGATGAACAATTTAGGACAAAAACAGATAATAATTGGTCATTTGAGTGACTCGGGTGACCTAAAATAGACTATGATAAATATACCTTATAAATCTATAACTTTATTTAATTTAATAAGAGGATGCAAAGTGAAATATACACCATAAACTTATTCCTTTAATAAAATAGCTTAATTTTCCATCATATTGTGATTTAATAACTCAGAGCTTCAAGGGAAAATATATAGATTTCTTGAACATGGTCCAATCTTAAAAAAAAGGCACTCTTTTGTTAAAAGTGTAATTTTATACTTTGCATAAAAATATGATTTTAGCCTACTTTACTTACGTTTTTCACAATTTCTTCTATCATTAGAGAGGTCATATCCAAATTCACAATCGCAATTAAATCCTCCCACGGTATTGATGCAAAGCTGAGGACAGTCATGATTACCACTAGTACATTCATCAACATCTAAAATATATTTAAATATTTGTTTATTTTATTCCGTCTGAAGTGAAAAACATAACATTTTACATTCTGTAAAGAACCTTACATGAGCTTCTACGTTATACAACAATTCTTAAATAATTAAATACAATAGGAACAGACATGACCGTGTTTCTGCGTATCGGTAGCTTTCCTAGAATACAATGAAATACATGTATGGAGATAACAAACAGTATTGAAGCTCAAAAGTTCAATGAAACAATACTAATCGGGAGCAGAGCAAACACGGACCTCTAAAACATCAGAAGTGGAATCAGGTGCCATGCAGAAGAAAGCATCACCTGTCGACTGGTCACACCCGCCGTGTGCTCCTTGTCATGATCGGACAAATGGAAAAAATAACTCAGAGTGTAAATAATGGCCTAACAATTAGTATGAAAAACGTCATTCAGCATCTACTGTATACAGGGAAATTTTTGCCCCGTTTAATTTTCGCCCCTTTCGCCCTACACATAAGCGGGCGAATTTAAAACAGGGCGAATTAAAAAAAAAAACAGTATAATTTGTTAAACAGAATTGTGACTGGGAGAATTTAAAACGGGGCAGAATTGTTTGCAAGTGTAAAAGGGCGAAAATAACACGGGGCGAAAATAACCCTGTATACAGTATCGTTGAACTCGACCATAGAACTTGCGAAATATTGATCAAACGAGATTGTTGATATCCTTGTTTCATCAACTTGGTTGGCAATAACTATAGCGTGCCTCTTTTTAGAAATTGTTCGTAGGTATGCTTTTGGGTATCGAATCAACTGGGAGACATAAAGTCCATATGCAGGTGATAGGGGTATATTTGCTACATAAATAAGGGAAGTTGACGATAAAAGAAGTTGAAGTCATCACGTTTATCATAAAGTTTTGTTTTTAGGTTATCATTAACGTCTTTCTCTAGTAAACTATCCAAATATAAATCAACTTAATTCATAAAGTGTATGAATGAGCCGTCTCAAAGAAGTGTAAGATAAGGACAAAACTGAGTTTCATTACATTTTGCATTTAAATCTATAATATCAATTCGACAATTCTTGAGTCGAAATCACTCATATCTCCATCAAAAAATCAGTTGACTTTCATATAAACTTTTTGTCACATTATTGTCGATATGATTAAAGCATGGATCATAGAGCCTCGGGAAATCCTACTCCGAGAAAGAAAGAGGGGGACATTTGGCTCTTGTGTGAGATTTCCCCATAAGGGGAAATCCTAGTCTAGAGAACATATTCCGGGGGGAAAGCTGGCAATTAGGGAAACCTTATTCTACAACACCAGGTCATCGCCCGGATGTCTGAAACAAATGTGCCAAGAGACATTATGTTATCAAAATTATAAAAATATAGGGCAACAAGAAATTCAAACATTGAGTGTAGTTTTGCAGCTTTTAAATATGTAAATTTAAATGTAAATTTAAGAAAATGAGGTTTTTTTAGTTTTGTGCGGGTGTTATTGGTGTGTTAATCACACAGACTTGCATGTAGGCATATTTTTCATGGAGTGCTAGCGCGCCTCATGAATGCCTATATGTACGTGACAATTAAGTCTGTGTGATTGACACACCAATAATTCACACAAAACTGGCCGTGTGTTTATTGAGAAAAAGAATTTTTTTTTAAAGATGTCATTAAATTTTCATTAATTATTCCTTAAAAGAGGGTGTGGCCCTTCAAATCCCTATCACCCAGAGATGCTTTGTTGCAAGTTGGTTTAAATTGGCCCTTTGGTTCTTGGGTAGAAGTCGAAAATGTGTGAAAAGTTTACAGACGATACACGACAAATGACAGTATGACACCGGACAACCCTCGATCAGGAAAAACCACTTTACAGTTAAGTAAACAAAATCTATTTAAAATAATACCTTTGCATACAGAATCTTTACTTTGAAATCCTTTCATGCAAGAGCAAGTGTAATTTCCATACAAGTTTTCACATCTTGTGTTTTCTGGACAGTTATATAAGCTATCGTCGGAACACTCATCAATGTCTGAAAAAAAGGAATTATCTGTGATATATCATAATTCTTTCTCCTATATTTTAATTCGTTTACACCAAAAACTGATTGTGCAGGGGGAAAAAATTGCGTGGACCCTGAGGTCGACACAGAAAATATAGAAGCGAGGTTTAACCGGATGCTTTTGGGAAAAGTCAGATTGCGCATGCAACATAATGCAAGACAGGTCGCCTCAAAGATAACTTGTTCTTAAGCCAGTGAACCCAGGCTAGAACTCCTCAACCGTGACAGTCGTCATATTCACAAAGACAACTCGCCCTAACTATTTTACGTGATCAACTTCCATGTAATCGCGCAGTTTTCATGTCTTTTAATTCGAATGATAACAATAATTATGAATACAGGACTGAGGTACATATTTATTAGATCTCTTCTTATACTTATATATCTTAATAAGTAAACTAAAAAAATATTTCTAGTTTTTTTTTTTTTTTACTATAGCTATACATGTATAAAGTATCATTAAGTACAAGCATTTATATCCACCAATTAAAATGGGAATGCCTATGGTACAAACTGAAGGGGTGTCATTTTTTCGGAGATGGGTGGGATTTGGGGGCTAGTTGTTCTGATTCCTGATGATCTTGTACAAAAGTTCAACAACTTTAAGCTTTAAGCTTGTCATGTATTATGATACGTGAAAACATGCATCTTCTAACTCTGAAATGAATGATCAAGGCTACATCACAATACATACATATCTGGATCAACATTAAATATTAAATTAAGGCATTGCTTTTATTTTATTTAATTTAGAATTAAAACGGTTTACTTAAAGTGAACAGGTTACATGTTTCAAGATAAAAGAAATCTATTTTATAATTGTTAATTCTGGTTGTAACGCACCATAAAATTGATTGGATAAAATATTTACTTTATATCGTATGAACTGTGTTGCCTACGTCACAGTACAGTGACGTGCGTCAAAAACTTATCTATTGCACAATTTAAAGTCAGTTTTAAGGGTATTCATCTTATTTTCTTACATTAATTGATGGAAAATTAAATTATAAGGGATGAATTTAATAGTTACCCAATTTATACAGGATTAACTGCATTGGAACAGTTTGCATCTTTTTACGCTTCGCGGTTTATAAAGCGTAAACTGTTCCAACCAAATCTATCCCGTATAAATTGGGTAGCTACATGTATTAATTTAATTCATTCCTTAAAAAATAATACATATTTTGAATGCAATTCAGAAACTTATCCTCAGATTTCTGTTCGAAACACATGCATTTAGTCTTGGTATGGCAGTCCTTCTTTAAGGACAGCAACTTGTTTTAAAAATATTTTTAGAATACCTTCACAGCTGGTTTTATTTCTCTGGAAACCTTCCTTACAGTTACACTGGTAGGACCCCTCCAGGTTTTTACACACCTCAGATCCGCAGATAGGTGGGTCGGTCTCACACTCATCAAAGTCTTCAGTACAATTCTCCCCTGTCCATCCTGACAGACAAACACATCCACTTACTGGGTCACACCTGTCCATACCGGGACCACATTGACATAGTTGGCTACAATTTTCTCCGTAATTTGGTTCTTCACACCCTAATAAACGAAAATAACATTCACCGAAGAATCTTTTTAATTACTTAAAATATTTATTTATTCATTAGTGTAAATATTGGTATTTAATTTTCTCCAGAATACAGATCAAATAAAACTACTATTAATACCTTTTTCACATGCCTATGATAGTAAAAAGTATTTTTCACCTGTGCATGATGTTTTATCCTCATTAAGAGTATACCCTGGCGAACAGGAACACAGGAAGGACCCATTTACATTTTTACAGTTTTGTTGACATACAGAAGGTTGTACTCTACACTCATCAATATCTGAATTTAAAATGACCTGAATTTAAAATAAGCTACATGTTGTTCGACATTTGACGAATATTTTTTTCTCTCTTTTATATTATATTTGTATTATTTGGAAGCAATTTCAACTGAAATATTTTTAAAATGAATTTTGGTCATACAAGTATTACGATTAACCTGTACAATTTTTCCCATTTTCATGAAGTTGATAACCAATAGGACAGATGCATTGTCCGGTCGAGTTACAGGTGTATTCACAATGTATGTCGAAATCTTTACATGGAGCTTCATCTGATTTATAAATGAATAAATTTTATGGAATATATAATAGCTGTGAATGCAGATCAAAATAAATTGATTATAATCATTATAATCCCAAAATAAAAACAAGAGACCCAAGGGCCTTGACGGTCACCTGAGTATAATACAACAACTTAGAGGATCCATAGAGTATAAAATAAACTGATAGATGAAACCGTGTTGTCCAAAAGCAGGAGAAGTAGAAAGATCAGGATCAACAAAATAATTAGTCTAATATTCAGTATCAACTCATAAATTAAGCTGTCCCCCACTTAGCACTATCACCATGCAGACTATTAATAAACTATTAGTGCTTCTTTACTATTTTTAACCCCATATTATAACCTCCTACATTGACCTCTATTGGTCTTTAAAGAAATAAGATAAGTTATTTTCATCTCATTTTTATTTCTTTATTATTTACAAGTTACCTGGTCATTAAAACTAAGAAAGTACTTTTTGTATTATACAATAAAAATTCTTGCATAGTTCATTTATTTTATTAATCTTTCAAATACATTATTTACAGTGATTTTTAAAATTATCAAAGGTGAATGGGAAAGGGGGAATAACTTCTCTCAGTAGAATACAAATTAAAAGAGCCTTGCTCAGGACCAGAACGCTTGACCAAATGGTCCAGATGTTCAGAAATCTGGTAAAAATATTCTTGCTTATTAGAACTTTTTGACTCAGTTTGCCTCCAATATGTCTAGAAGCAGAGCAGAATTTCACAGGTACAATACATTTTCACTACAGATTCAACACAACCCTACCCTAACACCAGAACCCACGACCAAGGGTCAAGAAATTTACAAATTTGGAAGAGTTACTCTCATCATCATACCTTTGCATTTCACAGAATTAACACATTTCCACTATATTATCAATAGCCCGTCATAAACCCCTGACCCTGGTACCACAAGTTAGAAGGACCCTTGTTCATCCTAACTATGCAATTATGTTTATCTGCTCAGGAGCAGTCATAATTAATTAATAGAAATTATCCATTTTCAGTATATTATCAATAGAGCCCCACCCTTACATGTACATCAGGACATCTGAACCAGGGGCCATGAAACTCACAATTCTGAAAGAAGCACTCTTGTTCATCATAACTATACATTTAGTTTCTATACTTTATATCCAGAAGCAGAAAAGAATACTTTCAAACATAGTATGCCTTTCCACTATATAATCATTCGAGCCCCCCCCCCCCTCTACCAGAACCCCCGATTCTGGAGCCTTGTATTTCACAATTTCGGAAGAGGCATCCTTGACTATCATAATCAAGCACTGAATTTGTTTAAATAATCTCCAGGAGAAGAGGAAGATTTTCAAAGTATTAATGCATTTCACTATTAAATCAATAGCGCCCCGCCCTAACACCTGACCCAGGGACCATGAAATAAACAATTCTGGAAGAGGCATCCTTGCTCATTATAACTATGTACTCATTTAGTCTGTTTAATATACAGGACCAGAGAAAATTTTTAATGCATTTTCACTATATAGTCAATAGAGCTCCACCCTAACACCAGAACCCCTAACCCAGGGGCCATGAAATTCACAAGTTTGGAAGAGACACACTTGCTTATCATAACTATGCATTTAGTTTGTTTAGTGAATACCCAGGAGCAGAGGATTTTTTTTTAAAGAATAATACATTTTCACTATATAGTCAACAGAGCCCCGCTCTAGCACCAGAACCCCTGACCATGGGACCATGAATTTAAAACTTTATTTAGAGGGCTCAATGCTTATTACAATCACGCCAACAGTTTAACTGCTTGATGTCCAGGAGTAAAGAAGAATATTTTTTAAAGATTGCATGAATTTTGATGGTTTTGGCCCCACCCCTCAGGCCCCCCCCGGGGGGGAGTAGGGTCCAAAAATTTCACAATTTTTGTTCCCCTTCACCCATAGATGCTACATGCCAAAATTGGTTGAAATTTGCTAACTGTCTCCAGAGAAGAAGCTGAAAATGTTCAAAAATTTAAGAACGACGACAGACGAAAAGAGATAGCAATAGGTCACCTGAGTGACTCATGTGACCTTGAAAAGGGCTACTGGTAATATTGTAAATATACATACAAAAACAGCAAATTTGTAAGCTTTAATTTGAAGATGCACGAAAATATTGGAAAATTTTCTCGCGTATGTATGATTAAGAATAAGAAAAAATATAAAGTTTTTATACGTAATTAATTGTCTACAGCTAAAGACTATTTTAACGTACATGTACTATATTTCATATAAGTGCTTATCTGAACATTTTCTGTGTGATTGCATCCTGGACAAAATAGCTGCTGTTGTCATGTATCTAGCGAAAATTCATGAGAATTTTACATGTGAGAAATCCCGGGGGGGGGGGGGCAAAATATATAACCATTCTTTATTATTACGTATTCACATATATAATCGATTTGATTGTAAAACGTAGGAATAATGTAATAATTCTACATTTGCTGTTACTGTAAAAAAAAAAGTTTCCCCATGAATGTTTAAGCATCAAAACTCGTTGCATTAAATTTGATAAAATCAAATAAACCAACAAAAAAGAAAAGAAAAATCAATATAGTAATCATGAACATTAATTTATTAGGCAATTTAAATAAGAGTTAAGAATATCTACCTGTTCTATTACATGTAGCATCGTCATCATTTAGTGAAAATCCCGGATGACATCGACATGTGAATGACCCTGGAGTGTTTTGACAAATACTCTCACATCCTGATATCCCAGTATCGCATTCGTCAACATCTTCATTGTAAAGTACATGTACATTTTTTATCAAATAAATTAAAAAATCTACCAATTCATCTAATAAGCAAAGGTTTAAAATTATAGCCCAAAAAGACAACTGACAATGGATGCTATCATGGTTGATAATATGTTCAAATTATTGAAAAAGTGTAATGGAAACAAACGATGCATTTTAAGGGTTTATTCGCATTTAAATTAATGTATAAACATTATATTGATTTATCTAAGATATTTAATACCACAGATCTGCGACCCGGTGCCTTTTTTAAAATATCTGAATTCAATGCAAAGAAAATTACCTGTACAGGTGTTATTTTCTTTTCTGTAACCTGTGATGCAGTTACATACAAAACTACCTTCCGTATTCTCACATACTTCCGATGCGGGATTGCAGATGTTTGCGCCATTGTTTCCACACTCATCAATATCTTTGAAAATAAATAGATGTATGTATTTGATTTTTTCCTTAAAATAGTTAAAACGAAAAAAAAAGAAGGTCAATTGATCTAACTAACATAAACCATTTTTAGTAAAGGTAAGAAAAGGATTGAAATTAAGTATTTGAAACTTCAATTTATTTAACTTCAACCTTCACATTTAGATCCAACATCCATAAAGCCAGGTGGGCACTCTGAGCAGTTGTATCCTCGGCCTAATGTGTCCTCGTCTTCCGGAGTCAGGTCAATGCATTCTCTTCCCAGAGGACACGGATCATTACGACAGCCATCTGCATCTGTTTCACATCTGTCCCCTACAATTCGTCTCATAATTATTTTTTGTTTATGGGGTGGGGCGATTGTGTTAGCAACAAACATTGGCTTAGTTTTTCCTTACTTACCAGAGTAACCCTTTTCGCAGACACACACTGCCTGAATAAATCGAACGTTTTCCGTCGATATAATGTTTTCGTAGTCGCAACGACCTTCATGCAAACAACCACCACATAAAACAATCGAGACATCCAGAGACGGTGACTCGGCTCCTAATTCATCTTCTACACTAATGCTTAAATTAAATAATTCCTTGGAAATAAAGACAGTTCATGAAATATTTTTTCTATATCAATTCATGAGTTTTAATACGCAATTTTAAGGTTAGATACCTTATTTCTGACATAGTTAAATTCCTTGGTGTCCATATGGCTTTTCCACTCGTTTGGTTGAAAAAAAAATCATCTGGTTGTTTTAAAATATTATATTTAGGTCTTTGATTGCCATCGTCGGAGTAATTAAACCATAGGTCCACAGACTTTCCAACCTCAGCATGAATGTATGTGTTCCCTGATATACTGGGAGTTTCATTCTCTTTAAAAAAAAATCGGTTAACAGTATTTAGCTTTAGTGTAAGTTACTATTTTAAAATCCTATAGATATAACTAGAGTGTTCCAAGGAACGCATGTGTCGCCTGCTTTGCAGCTTCATTAAAGATGTAAATAAATCTAAGTGTAGTTAGCTATTTATTTACTACTAGCATGATAGTTCATGGAGAAAAATGCATCCACCCATAGTATAAGACTGCGATAGCATCTGACGATAAAAGAAAATATGATTCCCAACCCTAAAATCAATAATAAAATTAAATTCATTAAAAATAATTATTTATCATTTTACATGTATAAATACGTGTTTCAAAGTCTTTACTCCAATTGTCAGTCTACACGATCCATTGTGGAATAGGATACTGATCCCGATGTATTTTCATAGTATTTAAATATAAGTTTGTGTGGTAACTGAATATCATCCAGTTTCAAAGTACAGTATCATGAGTCCATAAACATATATAAATGCTAATTATCAACACTCCGCCTCTCAAAACTCAAAAGACTTCAGTTAAATTAAACTGTCCGGGGTATATTTTACAAAGTAGGTCAAATGTCCAGGTCAAGTGAATTGTAACGCTGGTATTTTTCATGATGTTTTATCAGTGCACATGCTAAATAGCATAGACTTGCCTCTTTAATATAAAAAATATGCTGTATATTGGCACTTTCACTTTTTTGTAAAGTAGGTCAAAAGGTCAAGGGTCGCAAGGTCGGTAACCATGGCAATTCACAAAAGCCATAGTGCCAAGCAATATATGTGCAAAACATCCATAGTCCATATCTCTTATAGTTCTTGAGATACAAGGTGTGACAGACGGACAGACAGACAGCTAGACGGACAGACAGACAGACAGACAGACAGACGCCGGGTAAAGTGATCCCTTAATGCCATTCTGCTCTGCATGACACAAAAATTACTATGTTAATTATGCAATGTCTTAAAACCTTATAGCGGATGTGAAGCTTTACTTTCAGTTTTATTTTCAGGAAGATTCATAGTGAAAATGGTGAAGTTTATTCACTAACCAATAAGCTTGATATCAGCTTTCGATACCGTTTCCTCAGTTCCGGATGATTCGGCGAGTGCAATATCCCCAGTCGCAAGAAAATCAAATATACAGGCTTGTGATGGATTCTTTCCACATCTCTTTCTCGCTTCATCTAACTTTTCTTTATCTGTCTCGTCCAAAAATAGTGGTTCAAACTCAGGGTGAGAGAAATTCTTATAGGTTAATCCCTTTCCATAACTAAATAAAGAATCCTCACCGACAAGCCCTAAACGTAATCAAAAGAAAAGGTTATATGAATGTTGTCTTTAATTTATCATCCCATATTTTCATTATCAAAACAGTTACATGTATTGTATGCTTCAAAAGCAAGTCGGGAGGGGGGGGGTGTAATGATCTCTAAAAAACTTGTTGCATTCTTACTTGCATCTAAGATCAATTGAGCGAAAAAATATCGTTAAGAAAAAATTTGTTCATGTACTCGCCTATAAGTCGGTTGTATTTTTTAAGAGATTATAAGAGGGATTGACCCTTTAAAATATCAATCTATAACTCGCCTTTAAGTCGGACAAGGACTTTGGAACCATAGTTTAACTCCCAAATAAGAGGCCCATGAGCCATATCGCTCACCTGAACACAATGGCTAGGAAAAAGCACAAATCAATTCAGTATTGAAAAGCTTACAGGGGAGGCTTGAATTTTAAACTACCCGAGGATGCTTCCATATCAATATAACAAATGACCTTGCTGTTCTTGAGTAGAAGATTTTTAAAGATTTTTTTCCTATATATTGCTTTGTACAAATTTGATACCCCATTGTGGCCTCTCTCTATCTCCAGGGGGTAATCAGTGGAACAATATTTAATCTACACTATCTGATGATGCTTCCACATCAATATGACCAAACATGGCTTTGCTGTTCTTGAGACGAAGATATTTTCCTTTTTATTCGTATGTAAAACTTAGATCCCCCATTATGACCCCCAGGGGTCATGATTTGAACAAACTTGAATCTACAATACCTGAGAATGCTTCCATTTCAATATGACTAAACATGGCTTTGCTGTTCTTAAGAAGAATTTTTTTAAAGTTTTTTCCTATATATTCCTATGTAAAAATTTACCCCTATTGTGGCCCCACCCTAACCCCAGGGGTCATGATTTGAACAAAATTAAATCTACACTATCTGAGGATGCTTACATATCAGTTTGACTAAATAATGTTTCGCTGTTCCTGAGAAGAAGATTTTTAAAGATTTTTTTCCTTCATATTTCTATGCAAAACTTTGATCCACCATTGTGGCCCTACTCTACCCCCGGGGGTCATGATTTGAAGAAACTTGAATCTATACTATCTGAGGATACTTCCATATCAATATGACTAAACAAGGCTTTGCTGTTCTTGAGAAGAAGATTTTTAAAGTTTTTCCCTATATATTCCTATGTAAAACTTTGATCCCCGGGGGGTCACTCCCCATTGTGGCCCAACCCTAACCCCAGGGTTCATGATTTGAACAAACTTGAATCTACAATACCTGAGAATGCTTCCATATCAATATAACAAATCATGGCTTTGCTGTTCTTGAAAAGAAGATTTTTAAAGATATATTTCTATGTAAAACTTTGATCCCCCATTGTGACCCCACCCAACCCCCGGGGGTCATGATTTGAACAAACTTGAATCTACAATACCTGAGGATGCTTCCATATTAATATTACAAATCATGGCTTTGCTGTTCTTCAGAAGAAGATTTTTAAAGTTTTTTCCTATATATTCCTATAGAAAACTTTGATCCCCCATTGTGGCCCCACCCTAACCCCAGGGGTCATGATTTGAATAAACTTCAATCTACACTGTATAACAAAGGTTTCCTATAAGTTTCAACTTTTTTGAACCATTGGTTCTGGAGAAGATGATTTTTTTAAAATGCCACAAAATTTTCACTATATCTGAATTATCTCCCCTTGAATGAGGGCGTGGCCCTCCACTTGAACAAACTTGAATTCCCTTCACCCAAAGATGCTTTGTGGCAAGTTTGGTTAAAATTGGCCCAGTGGTTCTGGAGAAGAAGTTGGAAATGTGAAACGTTTACAGACGGACGAACAGACAGACAGAAGGACAGACAGACAGACAAACAGACGGACTACAGACAAAATGTGATCAGAAAAGCTCACTTGAGCTTTCAGCTCAGGTGAGCTAAATATCGACTTATAGGCGAGTTTATACGGTACATTAAAGTTAACCTTAGATACATAATGTTTTCTTAAAGGTATTCAATGTATAACGACCATATTTTGTATCTAATAAATGAACGGTCCTATATTTGTAATTATGGTATCATTTTGAAGGTGTTTTGAAATAAAAATACTCCACCAAAGAAAGTTACAAAATTTTGATTATTGTCAAATTAATTGCACGTTGAATTTTACATTGAAGTCTATGGGCAATGCATGTGTCATTAAGATATTGTAAAAAGTATTTTGAATTTCATAAAAAAAACCCTTGGTGAAAATATGCATACACTGTCTCTTTATTTAAATATGAAATAAAATTAATCATTCACCACAGATATTTTGACAAAATTAAAATTTTCTTCTTTGCATCAAGGGCAGATAACTCTTCAAAAACTTTTAAAGTGCAAAATGACCAGCTTCTTATATGTTATCAATCATGTGAATTTAGTTCATTTCCCTTTCATCGTTATACAGCAATACATTTTTAACTAGTTTAAAATGATTCAAAATTGTTCAAAAATCCCTTCATTATACATTGAATACCTTAAAATGAACATAAAATCTACAAGAAAGTGATATAAATCCTTTTATAAACTTTAAAATATCTCATATTTTTATATCATTGCCTTTTAAGAAAATTATCAACGAACCGATTGGTACACAGTAGCACAGAAATACAATCAATTTCAATCATCACGTTAGCTTTTGTCCATCGTTTACTAAATAATTATGAACTCACATTGCTGACCAAAGTTGTAGAAGATGTCTCTCTCTGTTTTTGTTGCATTTTCATCCAATTTAGTTTCATTAGGGAGAATAAATTCGTTGTTGAGATCTCCGTCGAAGTATCCCATTAAACCTCTCGTAGATCCCTTGTACGCATTATCTACAACTGTCTCCGAAATAAGGAAGCGTACACCCAAACTGACTTTTAATATAATTGCTGAAAATATAAGCTTATGAAATTACCTTTTCATTGAGAACTTGTTCCAATCCAATTTAATATATTTTATATATTTATTGCAATAGAATATGTTCATATCAAGCATATGGACAATTAAATGCCGCATATCTAACTCACGTAACTGCATATCAACATTGGGAATGATATGACTGAACTAATTGTTCATTAAGGTATTCCGATCTTCAGGTTCTGAAAATCAGCAGCGAAGTAGAATTTACAAATGTTTCAGGAAAAGATTTCAATTTCAAGTTTCATTTTGAGACTTTTTGAATTAAATATTAATTTTAAAAGTTATTGTTCCTGACTGAGGAGCGGATATCCCTACATTAACTGGTAAATAGTGGTTAAAGCAGATATTATACTTTCAGGTGAATTAGTTGTACCAGATTCAGAAATAAAAATAGTCTTGTTTAAAACACTATTACCCTTTGAATGTTAAAACCACGCCCTACAGCGTAATATAACGTAAGTGGACGACCATTTGATTCGGGAAGGGGGGGGGGTGGGTTGCTGGAAGATTTTGGAAATAGTCTGGCCTTGGATATGATGGAAATAAATCTGACCTATCTCATTCCCCCTCATTCATTGGCCTCTCTTCGTCTTTGAGGAATACATTAAGTATACGAAGATAAGGTACTTTTGCTCGTTTTTAATTCAATATTATTATTTATTAACAATTCTACTGACCTTTACAAACACTTTTTTATTACAAATAATAAAAATTCTTGTATAATTCTCTTGATATTAAATTGACCTTTCGTTACATTGATTACAGTGATTAATTTACATAGGTGAATAGTCGCCCGCGTGGCGCAGTGGTTAGAGCGTCTGCTCTAGAGTCGCGAAGTAAGGAGTTGATCCTTACGTCGCGGGTTCGAATCCCACTGTGGGACGTGGAGACCGGTCCTTCGGATGAGACCGTATAAACCGACGTCCCGTGTCGCAGTAGGTGCTGGCACGCAAAAGATCCCTCACTGCTCAATGGTTGTAAGTGCCGAGTATAGGACAAAATTTGCAGCTCTCCACCGGCAAGTGGTGGCGTCTCCATATGAGTGAAAAACTATCGAGAGGGACGTTAAACAACATACAAACAAACAAACAAACATAGGTGAATAGAAATGGGGAAGAATTCTCTCAGTAGAATACAATAGATACCTGCAAAGCACCAGAACACTTGACCAAGTGGTCCAAAATATCCAAAATCTGGTAAAAATATCCATGCTTTTTATAACGTTATACTCTGCTTGCCTTTTCTATGCCCAGGAGCAGAGAAGAAGCTTTTCAAAGAAACAATGTATTGTCACTATATATTCAAAACAGCCCCACCAACCCCCCTGATCCAGGAGTCATGAAATTGACAATTTTTGGAAGAGGCGCCTTGCTCAACATGACCATGCAATTAATATGTTTGCTAAGTAACCAGGGTCAGAGAAGAAGTGTTTTTTTTTTTAAATAGCATATTCATTAAATATTCAACAGAGCCCCTTTCTAACACCATTACCATGACACAAGGCCAATGAATTTCATAATTTTGGGAGAGACATACCTGCTTATAACCATGCAATTTGTTTATCTAAACACCAAGGAACAAAAAAAAAAAGATTTTCAAATAATTAATGCATATTCATTATATGTTAACAGAACTAACACAAAAAAACCTGACCCAGGGGCCATTAAATTCATAATTTTGGAAGAGACACCTTTGCTCATCATCACCATGCACTTATTTTTTCAAGCTTAATTGCAGGGATCAGAGAAGATATTCCCAAAATTAGTGTATTTTCACTACATACATGTACATTGTATATAACAGAGTCCCGCCCTGACCCATAACCCTTGACCCAGGGACAATGAATTTCATAACATTGGAAGAGAAATCTTTGCTCATGCAATTAGTTATCTCATAAATGCTCAAAAACAGAGAAGAAAATTTTCTAATACTGCATTTTTCACTATATATTTAACAGAATCCTGCCCTACATTGTAATACCAAAACACCTAACCTAGACCTAGGGATCATGAAATTCATAATTTTGGAAGAAATACTCTTTCTCTCCATAGTCATGCACTTAGTAAGTTTGCTTCATTCTCTGATATACTTGTGTTAAGGGGTCTCAGTTTTTAAGGTCTCATCCAAAAGATCCACAAGTTTCACTTCAAAGTGCCGAACGTTTGGCAAAGGAACGGTTGCTACCTATTGTTTTATGGACTTAGGTTTGTCGCGAGTTCGGCTTCAACCCACGATCTTCCGGTAACGGAGCTAGCTATCTTGACTGTTTGATCGTTGGAAACAATGTTTGCATGAATCAAATTCGGTGTATTTAAGTGAATGTGTGATTTTCCTCTGCTAACGCTTGTTCTAGTGTGAGATATACGGTCTTTGTAAATGTCTGACTGTTCAGTTTTTCGAAGATATTAGCACATAACAGCTTACTCAGAAAGATACATTATTTGCAAATCAAAGCTAAATGAGGATGGAAAATATTTCATGGCCAATAAAAGCAGGAAATTTATGTTTTAAAAAGATTCCAATGATAGATTTACGCTATGTACAATGAAGTAAATCATCATAAATGGCTTATTGCATACTTACATGACTGAAGAAAGGACGCTGATATTGTTTGGTTTTCCCAGCGAACAGATAGATTTTGTGTGAGAAATGTGTGGTTTGCATTTTCAAAGTCCCTTGTCAGATCATTTTCGTTAACTCTTATTATCATTTCTTAATAGAAAATACAGAAAAGTTATTAATGAGAAAAGACATTTATATTAAATGCAGTAATGTCGAATAACTTGTTACGAACTATCTTTAAATATATTTAATTCAATTACCTTGCTTATATGTGACTTTGGCTTATAAAACTTTGCAATAGCAGGTTTTACTTTTAATCTATATTTCAAATCATATTGGCATTGAGAAACATTTGTATTTCATTTTTTTTACTTTTTTTGTCCCGAGTCATGTCTATCTGAACTTTTGATCCAGTATGGTCCTGAGCAACGAATGCACTGAACACCGTTGCATTGATTGTCGTTCCGTTTGCTGTAGAAGCTAGTTCCGTTCTCGCCTGGAAATGAAATTGCGTTGATCCTTTATCTATTTTCAGCATTGTATACTCTCCAAATCCATTAAATGTATAGTTTTTACCGTCGAGTGTCAAAATGTGTGGGTCACCAAAATTTATTCCTAGGGGATGGAAAAGTGGTTAGAATATACAATTGATATAAAATACTCCATACACAATACAAGGAAATGCTTATTTCCTCAGCAGTGGAGGATAAGGAAAAGACGCTTAATTTTATTGATTACATACTATTGATTGATTGTACACGAGAGAAATTTCTGAAAATATTCTATTTTTTTCTGATCATTTCTTTTCAGAAAAAGAAGAAATTAAAACTCAGAAACTTTAAAAGAACATATAATCAAATAACTTGTGTGTACCAGGTTGAAATGGTGACCTCGAATAACAACGTGGGATTGGACGAACTTCATAGTACCAGTGGCAGTGTCCGGATCTACAACATGCCTCTCTAGGCTTCAAGTCAGATTTACTGTAAAGTTGTCGTTCAAAGAATGGGTTGTACTCCAAAAGAGTACCTGCGGCGGGTAGAAACCTCTCCAGAGTACTCAAATTATCAATTGATCCATGCATTCTGTAACAACAATCCTACAAAAACATAAATTCATTTATATACTTATATACAAGATTTACTTATAACGATTGAGATAAATGTTTTTTCTCAATTTCTAGTTCCATGTTTTACTGTCTTTTAAAATTCTTCCTTAAGATTCTTTTAATTCTTCAAATGCATTTAGAAAAGTAGATTCACTTTTCCAGTGCTTAGGAAAATTGCGTTAATGTTTAAATCATGCTGTCTGTTTTAACTGAAAGTGGGGATTGTAATAAAATTATATACTGTTGCAGATTTTAAAGTAACTGTTTTACATAAGTCATTTACTATGATTCAACAATCTGATTTTTTTTAATCCACACTGCTTTAAAGGATGAACAATAAAATACTATGGATCAACATAACTCCTACCCATGATTCATTTATGATTCATGCTTAAAATATCTTTAAAAATATTTGATACTAAATTGCTTACAGCATTCCTTCCAACTGTCATGGAGGCATAGCAAAGTACTCGGTTTGTTCTATCAAATCTACTTATAGCATAGCGTGGGTCGAATCTTAGCAGTCGACTATCGCATGGACATTCTATTAGATTCAGAATAGGAGACAAATTTGTATACGTGTCTCGCTCTTTGTTTTGTGTATACCATTCAAAGCATTCTCTTTCCTCTTTGTTAGGAGGAATTCCAGTTGTCATCTTATAAATCCAAAATCCTCGTGCTCCTAAATAATTGAATATATGCAGTATGGATATTGATCATTTAAAAACTATAATTTGCCTGGTTTATAAAATCGTTTAATAAATTTTTCTGTTTCCTGGATTTTAACTCATAAGAAAAGTTGCTTTTTTGTTTGAAAATGAGTTTTTACTATATGTTGTTTTATAAACAATTCTTTAATCGGTAATAAGACGGTGTAAAAAAAACCTCTGTTTCCTGGATTTTTGCTCATTCGGAAAGCTGCATTTTTGTTTGAAAAAGAGTTTTTTCTATATGCCTTTTTATACTGATATCCAATGGTAATTTGTTTCTTCTTGATTGGCTTTAGATTAACATCTATATAATTTATCACCGTAAAAGTACTCTGACCATCTGTTATTAACAGGTTTTGGAAAGTCACTCTCTGAAAGAAATGGTGAAGAAAGTGTTGTGTTCAACAATTAAAGTTGCAGATTATTGAACAATACTAACAATGTATAGAATAATAATATTTCAAAATCTCATTGATGGCATTAAAACTTAAAGATAATAATAATCATAATAATAATCATCCTCATAAAATATTGTATTCTGTAGCCACTGATTTAATACAGCTATTCCTTTAATACCTGTGACTTATCTCCAAACAATGTCATATTTTCCCAGGTCACCTTGACAAGCCATGTCGCCTCAAAATCTGGAAAATCACCAAACTGGTGCCGAACTATTTCATTTGCTTTTCCAATGAACAGGTCATTTTCGGAGTCCAATCCCCTGTACAATCAATTTCTTATACAAGTATGCAATCTTACTTAATTGCTGGACTGCACAAATGTCTAAAAATAAAATCAGAGAATTTTTTACCTTTGATATGTCTTGTAAAAAACATCTCCAGTGGAGTCTACTGTCAATAGATCTGTCCAAAATGGACATATTATTCTTCTATCTTTCATCTTGGCACTGTTTATATCATGTATTGTGATACTGTTGAATTCTTCTCCAAGTCCTATTATTCCATTAGTCCCAATCTTCAAAAATATATTCAAATCAATTAATAGGAATGAAATCTCTTCTAAAGATTTGAAATTTGATTATTGAAGCTATACCAGAAAATTTTACATTTTAGAAATGTAACTTACAACTATGTAATTAAATCCACCATCTGATCCATCCCCAACATACATTGTTGTTGGAGACTTAAGATGAGGCGTGATGACATCATCTCCTCTTAAAACATCGTCTCGGCCACCATAAGGCATGTAGGAATATGCATCTTCATGGGCTGATCATAAAATAGAACATTTTGAATATTAAAAAAGTAATTACGTCAATATGTCTCGTTAAAAGTCATCATTTCGTAAGTTCTATGGTCGATACAATGACCTTGTCAGCAAATACAATTTATCATTGAGTCAAATGCTGACTGACGTTCTTCATACTAATTGTTAGGCCATTATTTACACACTGAATTGTTGACGGATTTTTCAGTTATTTACCGATCATGACCAGGAGCACACGGCGGGTGTGACCTGTTGGCAGGGAATGCTCACTCCTCCATGGCACCTGATCCCACCTCTGATGTTTGGAGGTCCGTGTTTGCCCTACTCCTATTTTGTATTGTTTAATGGACTTTTGAGCTTGAATACTGTTCGTTATCTCCATATATTTCATGTACACAATCAAATCTTTCAATTGTAAATATTTTTCGTACCAGTATTTATAATCTTACCTTGATCTGTTTCGATCCAATCAATGTAGGCTTCGCTTCTCTTAGTTCCATGCCACGGACCACTTGAGCTATAACCATAACTTACAGCAATTATTGTTACGTTGTACATTGACCCCGGAGTTAATGATCTTGTCCAGTATATCTCAGGAAAACTTCCAAATGTCTGTTGTTGATAACCATTAATGGTGACGACATAGTGATTGAGGAAGGTGTTTTGACCAGCTTCCGCCCATCTCAAATATACGTTATTTGCAGAGAAATTACTCATTCTACGATTTATCTTCCCAGGAGGATAAAGATCTACCGATGTATAAAATCAATTTTTGATTCCTTTTTTAACATAAGACTTTGGAATTCCTACATTAATGCAAGATATTGCATTGTTGATACTATCATTTTGCATGTAACATTATTTCATCATTTCTGTTAATAATACGCTGAAAGAAGTCCAGGGCAGTGTTGTTAGTAATTTTAAAATGTTTGGATATAAAAACATTTACCAATTATACTAATTATAATTAACATATTAAAATTACAAATATAGATGCCATTTCATTCACTTCTAAAGGAAAAACATATTTGTGAAAGTTTTGGTATCTGTGCTCCATTAATGATGATTTTTTTTCCTTAAAGGTCAGAGTTTCAGCAATTAACTTTTGTTAAGAAATCAAATTTACGGAGATATATGATGCAAACTATCACGAGACTGCAATATTACATATGAAAAATTTGAATAGAAAATTTAATTGCGTTAATGTTCATACATTTCAAACTATGAATCTTGAAATTTATATACCGTTTTAATAACATTGTATAAAATGTTTTTGAAACAGATCCACACACAAACACATGACGAATTATGAAGTACTAGTATTAAGTATACACTTTAAGATAATTCATTATTCCAGGTAGGTTTGTTAGAAATGAACGCATAAAAAATTACCAAGTATAATAGAAGGTGAATCCACGTCCAAATTAAAAGTCTCTGTTGGATTAGTTAATGACACTTTAGCCCGAATTCTCCATATATAGGCTCGTCCAGGTTGGTATTTACACGATGTTGCATGTTCTGTGATGTTTCCAACATTAATGTTTTCTTCAAGGTACCACGACCATCTACTTTGAAGAGAATACAGGAAAACCTCAAAGCCTTCAATGAGATGACCGTCATTAAAGGGATGTCTCCATTTTACATCAGTTTCACATTTACTTCCCTCAACTCCCTGGATGCGTGGTAATAAGTTGTTTCCTATTCATATTATGAAAAAAGGAGATAAATGAAACATTATTTTGTAATGAGAACTGTATTGGTATGATCCTACTCATTAGTGTATTTGAAATACAAATAAATGTTCTTTTCTTCGCTTCATATGAATTAACCTTGAGCAATTGACTATCTGTTGTGTCAATAATCTACATATTTTTCTTTATAAATGTGTTTATAACCATCGCATTACAATGTTCCACTGGCGACTTTTTAAAAAAAAAATGTCATTGTCGAGTAAATTATTTTCATACTGAAATGATGATGATATAATTTTCTTCAGATAAATGCAGATTTTTTTTTGTTACAGAAATGTAATACTCACTTGAATAGCACTTAGTGTCCTTGTGATAATAAGATGATAAACAGAGACAACTTTGTGCGCGACACGTTAGGTACATATTTGGTTTACATTCTCTATTCAGGTTACACCGTTCCAGGAAATCGAGACCTAGAACAACAAGATTTTTAATCTCCTTCCAAGATTATGTGACATTCAAAAATATATATCATACAGTATCACTCCATGAAAGTAAGACGACATTAAACATAGATGATGTATTGATGTGACCAATTTTAATGCTCTGATTTCCCCTTCAATGATTTGAAAAATCTGGAAACCGTCATTACTCACGTTCTACATTAGATGTAGTTGAGAAAACTAACATTATCAATTGAGTTGTAATCATAATGTATATTTAACATTAGAAAAGAATTTCTAATAAGTTGTCCTAACATTGATTTGAAGAACAATAAAACCTTACTGTGATCATGCATTTCCTAAACCAGGACCTTTGATATCTATACAACACAAAATAACCCTTCCACTTTGACTACTTTGAAGCAACTCATACAAATCTACAATATGAATTAAGTTAAGTTGTAACGATAGTTTAAATCAACTTGTAATTTACTCACTTCCATAAAGTGACACATATGCACTATTGCTTGTCCCCCATCCTTCAGCGTTTAACGCTACACATTGAAAATATGAGTCGTCTTCGTTTAAAAAGTCGACCTTGTTAATCACTAGTATGGGATTATATAAATCAAGGGTACTGCCGTTGTATCTGTTGTCTGTTATCGTTATATTGGTCGCAATCCCAGAGCGAATTCTTTGCCATTTAACTTCATCTGTTGTTGGGAAATCAGAGAAATTTTTCACTGAAGCTCTGATTTTAATTGTAGAAAGGAATGGTATGTAAAATGAAGTTTGATTTACCTCTACTTTAGGTGTACCTAAACATAAATAAAAGAATGGAATGACATTACAGTAGTGCAATATGATAATCAAGAAGGTAGAGGTAATTCAGAAATACATACGCAGAGTTTCGATTTGTTCGACATATCCTGTGCTTTCTTTGGAAAAAGAGTACCCATTCCAGCTTATTGTTGATATTGTAACATTATAATATTCACCAGGTTCTAGTTTGTTTGACGAGGAGATAGAATTTGAATACGAATAAAACCAATTGTAATATCTGGTTCCTCTAATTCTGACTCTGTATCTGCTGACATATGTGTTATTCTTTGGAACATCCCATCTAAGATACAGCTTCTCGGGGTGAAAGTCGCTGGTATTTTTATCAATAGGACCAGGAGGAAGAGGATCTAAATAAAATTATATTTCAAGATTTATCATCCATTGCGTTAGGTTTTTATCAAAATTAATACAAATGTAAATATCAGAGAATTGTCTGTAATACATACCTACAACTAGTGGTATATTTGATGCCGTCACATTTATCATTTCCCTCGGATTACTAAGTAAAACTACTGAAGTGATGCCAAAATAATACAAGTAACCGGGTCTAAAATTGGATTCAAAAGTATAGTTAGTGTCCCTTTCGATTGATTCTGTAACATCAAGGGACCACCAGTTTTCTCTTAGTCTGACAGTGTACGACTGGATAAGATCGGAATCCCAGGACGGATGATCCCACCAGACAGTTATATAAGATGTTGTTATCTCTGAGGCTCTGTATATTGCCCTCAAATTTGTTCCTGTAAAAATTCAAATCATTTTTTTTTTTTGTAGAATACTGTCCGAAGAATACAATTTTCAATTCAATTACCTGGTATGTTTGTCCTGTTTGAACATATGGGCATTAAGTAGTATTTCATGGGCATTTTGCAGCAATTAAACAACATGTTAATACACTCTTTTTATATACGAATATAAACAGAATGGTACTTACTTCGATAACATGTGTAATTCTTGTGATAAAAGCTACTTCTACACATGCAGGCATTGTATTTGAATGAACACTCCAAAGAGTAGCTCTCATCACATTCCTTTGTCATGTTGCATGAATCATTAAACTGTAAAACTGTACACAATGGTCGTGATATAATTAAATGAAAACTAAAACTTGCCAAGTTGGCCACTTTTCATTAAAATGTGAAAAACATACATGCAATAATTGGAAATAAATATTGAGGTAAATTGTTGTCAGAAACATACTTCCCCTGACTTCTAGATTCACTGTGTTGCTTAGACACCACCCTCCGATCATTTGAACCTGAAGTTGATAGTTAACCTCGTCATCAAATGTGATGCTATTTATCATAAGTTTTGGTAAATTAGGCCAATTCACAGTTCCGGAATATTTATCTTTGGCTATGTCGATGATCTCAGTCCTGTCCCATCCTATTCTGACCCATCGTGACCTGATAGTAACATTGGAATTCGATTCAATGATGCCAGCGAATGATGTTGATGATCCGAAATCTTTTGAGATGAACTGAGGTGTGACAATTACAAATGGACACACTGTATCAGACAAATGAATAAAACAATATATATTTAACTGTGTAAAACAAGGGCTGCTACATATAAAACTTTTGATACTAATTTCTTTTGCATCTTGTGAATACAGTCAAAACTGATCTGATAATTTTTTGATGATCTTTAGAGATTTAATAATATTATTCGCTGCATTCCTTTGGTATCAATACTTGCTGTGGTAGAAGTAATGCTTTGTAGCTGAAATTTATTTCATAATTGAGACATGATTTCTTTTATATCTAAAAAAAAAATGAGAAGCACTAGTGAAAAGTTCAGTCTTATTTCATGATTTTACTTCATTAATTAATTGGAAAGGATTTATTAAAATATAAATATATGTTCTCATTTTCACAAGAGCAAAGCACGAATGAATATATCAAATAGCCCTGCCTCACAGGTAAAATAAATTCCATATCGAAGGACAACAGATTTAAAATATCTGGGTTTTTGTGTCGCTTGCAGAGCACAGAGACACTAATGTCTAGATCACATTTAATTAAGCCGATGGTCGGACGACCGAGTTTCGTCTGCTGATAAACATGATCGGCCAACACTGGAATCGGGCGACGCGGAGCAGTCACATTAATTCATAAGGACACCGATAATTTTCAAAAATTGAATAATTCTTAGTCGGCCAACAGTCACCAGATCACCATTCTTGCTAAGCCTCAGTTTGATTTTCACCGTCGGCCGACATTTACGAAAACCCAATTCCTAAATGTCGACCGACCGACTTAACGAACTGTCTGCCGATGGTCAGACAATGATCGAGGGTTGATCGACGGACTACTCAACGACTGCTTCAATCGAAGGAATCGGCCACCGACACAGAAATATATATAACATGACCGACAGACAAAAAATTAGTCATAAAAGAGGTCAAAATCGGGCAAGACAACGACGGATGAACAGTCGACTGTCGCCCGAATATACCTATTTTTGCCTCAAAAACCGTTGGCCGTTGGTCGTTTTTGGAAATGAGGTTTCAGGGATCACTTTACCTGGCGTCTAGCTGTCTGTCTGTCTATCTGATCGTCTGTCACACATTGTATCTCAAGAACTGTAAGAGATATAAATTTGATATTTTGCATATTGCCTGGCACTGTTACTTTTGTGATTTGTCATAGTTACCGACCTTGTAACCCTTGACCTTTGACCTACTTTACAAAATAGTTAAAAGTGCCAATATACAGCATATTTTTTACATTTAAAAGGTAAGTCTATTAAAGATGCTACTTAGCATGTGCACTGATCGTCATAAAACAGCATGAAAAATATCAGCGATAGAATCCACTTGACCTTTGACTTACTTTGCAAAAAAAAAACCCAAACAGTATAATTTTACTTATATCTGTATATCTTTTGAATTTGCGAGGCGGGGTGTTGATAATTAGCATTTATATATGTTTATGAGCTCGTGATAATGTTTTTTGAAATTATATGAAATTCAGTTAACATATGAACTGATATCTAGTAAATAATATGAAAATACATTGGATTAGGTATCCCACAATGGATCGTGTTGACTGAAAATTGGGGTGAAGACTTTGAAAACATGTAATAAGGACTTTGAATAGGTTCCTGGCTTTCGTATAGAATTTTTCAAGAACTCTTGAGAAGGTGTAAAGGTACTAAACATGTTATATTTTGGTACATTTAATTCAACAAGCCACCCTTCCTTTTCAGATTTTGTCAAATCAATGTTTTTAAAATTCTCAATGCAATTTCTATGTAAAATGTTGATCAAAACGACTTACATAATTTTTCACCATAAGATTCCCCCAGAACCCATTTATTTCATAAAGTTTATGTATTATATACATTATCATATCCTCATTTTCTATGAAAGCAAGATATTTTGGCTGAAAATGCAAATATAGAAACAAAATACAGATATGCCAGTACCGTTCTTTATTTTTGAGTTACTTCCCCTAGAAGCTATTATTATTCATGATGGTAGAGAGACTGATTGACTCTTTTTTTTAAAGTAATTTTCTTTATTGGAAAGACGATTGTTATAAAAAAAATATTAACATGGATTTGTTTTTAATTTTTGTTCGTATATTTACTAAATAGCGCCTCCTTCACAAGACCTAGAAACTGTTCTCAGCATTTGTCACATCTTTGCCCTTCCCAGAATACCTACGGTAAAAAAAACGATCTGTTGACTTTCTGTCCCTTGAGTACAATGTTCAACAAAGCCATCACTGCTTTTTTTTCTTTGTTGTAGAGAGGATTCTACCCGTTGAAGGAAGCACGCGTGCTTTTGTTTATCTCTGCAACATACCCTTTATTGGTTTTCACTGCGTAGCGAATTCTACACGGAAGATCACTCTCAATCAGTTTTACAAATGAAAAAACCATGAATAAAACGTTTTTTCACCGGATAACCGTGACTTGCTAATGTCCTTAATATATGATTATTTATAATAATATCGATTCAATTATTAATTTTGGGAATTGGGAATCATATTTTCTTTGATTGTCAGATTCTGGGTATGTTAGCTTACTGTACCATGTGGAATCATAAATATTCGTCGGGACGAATTTTCATGGATTGCCTAAATTGTACAGATTTGAGGGGGCGTAATTTAGTGCACTCATATCTACAAAAGGAAAATGACTCAT